GAGGCGGAGCAGGGCAGCAGGAGGCAGAGGGACGGGCAAGGTTGGAGAGGGAGACAGGTAAGCAGAGCAAGAGAGGAGGGAAAGCAGGTTAGAACGGAAATGGGGTTGGGGTCTTTCGTGATGAAATAAGTCCACCTCAAACCAACAAGAACAAGACTTCACCCCCACGCTCCACCTGGAGAACCCTCATCCGTTCTTTTTGCAACCCCGGGTGGCATCGTAGGCCAGGCATCCATCAGGCTGCTAAAGCAAGGTCAGCCGTTTGAAACCCCCATCCTCTCCTCGGCAGAGAGATGAGGCTTTCTACCCCCGTGAAGAGTTACAGTCTTGGAGATCCACGGGGGCGGGGGCAGTTCGACTCTGTCCTGTTGGGTCACTAAGGAGGCGGTGTTGGCTCAATGGCAGTGCGTTTGGGTTTGGTTTTTGTTTGTTTGTTTAAGTAGCTTAACCTGTTGCGCTACCAGGAGATTTACAACTATGGAAACCCAAGAGGGCCATTTCCACTCTGTTCTAAGGGTCACTCTGAGTTGGAATCAAGAGGACTGTAGTGGGCTGCTCATTCGTGGTTTCTCAAAATCCCAATTCCCTCCTGTGGGCTTCCTGATACTGCCAACGGTCAGGTGACTGGGGGACGGGGTGCGCTGTGGAGGACCTCTCAAAGATTCGAGACAAAATAGGTGACCAACCATCAGAGTCTGTTCGATGCTAATTAACGCTTTGAAACGATGACGTCATCTCCCGGGTGCTTCGCTTGACTTCTTTCCCGGAGGCTCCCGGGAAACTGGGAGACTCGGGGTCCCCTGTGTGGCTAAACACTGCATCCCTATTGGGCAGAAGACCCACCCCGAAATGGAACTCTGGAGGAACAGGGGCCCCAGCGGTGTTGGGTCATCATTGGGACCCGCCCCCCCCCACCACCACACACACACCTCCCAAACAAGGAGCCCTGATGGATGGTATAGAGGTTTAAGTGTGGTCTTCGGGTCAAAGCCATGAGCCACCTCTCAGGAGAGAGACGGACAGTCTTGGAAACCCGACAGGCCGGTGCTGGGTTGTTATGGATCAGAACTGCCTCCATGCAGCGCATTTATAGGGTCGCTGTGGAGCCATGCCTGTGGGTCTATAGGTGTGTGGAACAAACCCCAGGGGAAATAAGACGAGGACTCTAATCCCTAACTTATCACAGAGGGAATCTGGAAAGCCGGTATCCCACGGTAAGAAAGCCACCACTTTGATTAAGTTAGAGGTAAAGTCCAAGTACATGATCCTGCTTTAAATAGCATTCCCGCTGATTCTCCCCAACAGCTACGTTGCCTTAAAGTGAGCACATGGTTGATTCTATCTCCCTATAGAAGCAGACACGATCCTTGTCTCTCTTCCCCTCCTTATACCTTCCCCCAATGCAGGTATTAGGTCTCCTCACCTGTGAGCTCAGGGACCTTACTGTAGATACCACCCACCTTGTGACGCATGTAACTACTGAAGATGCGTGTCTTAGGCTACCCAGTCAGTAAAGGCTCTCTCCCTTCTCCCAGTTCCACGTGGACCATCAAGAGGAGCTGAGGTGAGCATGCAACTATCAATGTGTCTGGATCCTTTATTTTATTCCCTCTCCTATTGTTCCCATCCTCTATGACTTGATAGATTATCACCATGCAATTGCCCCGACTGGCCCTTGGGTGGTTGGAGACTGGTTTTCTCTGACATATAGGGTCGCCGTGCATCAGGGCAGGGGATTCACAGGGTCTCTTGTGAGCTGCTGGCAATGGGCTCACAGGGGCACTACGTCAGCAGTCACTAAGTGGCTGTGGGCTCCTAGGGTCTCGTGAGTCAGAAAGGCCCCTGGGGCCGTGGGCTTTGCTGTGGATCCCGACCATGTGTGTAGTGAGCACAGCAGCAGGCCCGCGTTGCAGGCACCTGTTGAGTCCGTGGTGACAGCAGCGTCTCACCTGGCAGGAGTCTCGGCCCCCCTGGTTCCCGGCACAGAACATGGTCTGGTCTATCTGGCCCGGGTAGTCATTGCTGCACTTCTCCTGGCTCACCACCGTGATGTTCAAGCACTGGAGGGTCTTGGGGAAGTTCACTGTTCAACACACACAGGCACACAGATCAGCACCACTGCCGTGAGAGGTGGAGAAGGCCGGGGGTGGCTGGGGGAGGGGGTGTTGGTGGAGGGAGACAGACACAGACAGGTATCGAGGGGGACCTGGACACTCACCATTGGGGCTGCTGGTTGTTCCCCAGCCAGAGACCGAGCAAGAGGTCCCTGCCTTTGGACACTGGGAGGAGATGTTGATGGCCTGGATGTTTTGGTTCTCACGAACTCTCCTATTCATCTTTATGAGCATGAGGTCGTTGGAGTGGTGAGGGTGTGAGTAGCCGGGGTGGGGGATGGACTTGATTCCCCGGAGCTTCTGCTGCCCAGATTCGAAGATGGTTGACAGGGAACGTCGACCAAGGAAGATGCGGGTACCGCTGAGGAAAATGGGTGAACTCACCTTCTGTCCTGATCGCCACTCCCTAATGCAATCACCAGGTAGCCCCAGACTTTGTCCCAGCCCCCTCAATCTCAGCTCCCAACTCATCCCCCACTCCATCCCCAGCTTCTGATCACCACCCAGTGCCCAGTGCAGCCCCAGACCTTGTCCCGGCTCCTCCACCGGACCATCCGCCCCAGCCACCAAACCATTCCCAACTCTGTCTTTACCCCCAAGCCCTAGTCGCCACCCCCCAATCCCCTAACCAGCCTCAATCCAGCCCTAACACCATTCCCAACTCCATCTGGATCCCCATTCCCACCCATCACCAACTTTGCCTCTAGCCCTGATTATCTTTTCACCTTAAACCATCAACACACGCATTCACCATCAACCTCAAGTCCCTCCACTCACTACGCTTTAAGCTATAGCATCGTCAAGTCTACCTAGACTCCGCTTTCAGAGGCAACCGTAATCCCATTTCCAGCCCCTGTACCACCAGCATAGATACTCCCAAGTCCAAATCCACTCCATCTCATCCAACTCCAACCCCACCGCGAATCCTTCTTCCACTCCCAAACTATTGGCACATTCACCCCCAGCTTTACGTCCAACCAAGCCAAACTATCCCTGGTGACACAGCGGCTCAGTGCCCCACTGCTAACCTGAAAGTCAGAGGTTGGCCTGGGGTGTCCTACGTGAGGTTCTCTGCTTCCATAAAGACTATAACCTTGGCCCTATGACTGCCTTGGTTCTTTCCTGTCATAGTGGGTCCCCATGAGTCAGAATTGACCGCAACAATAGCAATCCCCGAGCTGGCAGAGCACCCCATAAGCAAGGCAAGCACAGACCTACTTGTGCTTACTAACCAGCAGTGAGCAATTTCACACGGGCTTCACCCCACGGATTAGCAAGGAGGCACAAGTAAGCTCGGGTTTACCTAGGTTCCTGGGTACTCATTCCTATCAGGGCTTGCAAATTTGAAATGCGGCACGAGGGCTGGGATTCTAGCTAGAAGCAGAATCTCTGGGATGATGATGATGATGATGATGATGATGATGATGATGATGGGCATGGGGGTGTGTGTGTGATTAGATGGTTCACTGCAGATTAATAAGTAAGTACAAACAAACTCATGCTTACCTTGCTTATTCGGTAATCTGACACTGCCCCCCAAACTCCCTGCCATCGAGTCAATCCTGAATCTGGTGACCCCATAAGACAGGGTAGAGCTGCCCCTGTGGTTTCTGAGACGGTAACTCGTTACAAGAGTAGAAAGCCTCATCTTTCTCCCTCGGAGTGGCTGGTGGTTTTGAACTGCTGGTCTGGTGATAACAAGCCCAACACAGAACCACTATGCCACCAGGGCTCCCGGACCCTGCTCAGGCCCATCACTAACTCTAACCCCAAGCCTATCCTAAACCCCACCAAAGCCAAAAGCCAAACTCACTGACATTGAGTAGATGCCAACTCACAGCGACCCTCTAGGACAGGGTAGAACTGCCCCTGTGCGTTTCTGAGACTGCGATTCTGTAGGAACAGACAGCCTCATCTTTCTTAAGCAGCGCTGCTGGTGGTTTTGAAATGCTTACCTTGAGGTTAGCAGCCCAAGGCATCGTGCACTACGAGCCCAAGGCTCACTTCTACTTGTAATCCCAACCCTATCTTTATTTATCTCCTTCCCCGGTCTCCACCCCACCTCATCTCCAATCCTGAGCCAACTGAACTCTAATTACTAAAACCAAACTCACTGCCATCCAGTCGATTCCGACTCACAGTGACCCTATTGGACAGGCTTAGACTGCCACTGAGAGTATCCGAGACGATCACTCTTTACGGGAGTAGAAAGCCTTGTTTTCCTCTCGCGGAGCGGCTGGGGGCTTTGAACTGCTGACCTTGCAATTAGCAGCCCAGAGCCTAACCCCCACGCCAGCAGAGCGCTTAGCTCTACACTAAACAACCCCTAATTCCCCAGCAGAATCCTAACCCCACCCCATTCTCCTCCCCCAATCCATCCTTAGCCCTATTCCCAATTCTGCTGGTCCAGCTCCCTGCGTCCAGTCTGGCCGCATCTCAACCGGAGCCTGGCTGCCCTCCTCGCCCCTGTCCAGTCCAGATCTGCGGGCGTCCATACTCACTTCTTCCTGCAGTGGGCAGCAGTGAGCAGCCACCGCTCAGCCACCAGCACCGCCCCGCAGTACAGCTGGTTCGGCCTCATCATCAGCGCCGCCTGCCACCTCTGCGAGCGCAAAGGGCAATCCGACCCGTTGAGGATGCGGGTGCTGCTGTCTTCGTCGCTCCGAGTATCTCCAGCGTCCGCTTCAAACTCCCGGGTTTTCTCGGAAGACGCCCCGGAGGCGGGATTGTCGCAGGAAACATCTTCAAGGGCTAGAACTGGCTCTGGTAGGTAGGGGTGTGTGTGAAGCAGAGCACGTGAGTGGTGGACCCAGGGGGTGTGGACCGGGGGTGCTTTAAGGGCGGGGCCAGGGCTCTCGAGGTGGATCCTGGAAAATACTGAACTGCCTGCAGAGGCTGAGCCTGAGTACAGGTGTTGAGAGTCTGGCAAGATCTCAAGGGTGCTCGAGAATAGCTGACGGAGCCCTGGTGATGCTGTGGATTAAGCTTGGGCAGCTTACCATAAGGTTGGTGGTTCCAGCCACACCAGCTGCCTCATGGGAGAAAGATGAGGCAGTCAGCCTCCCAAGTTTTACAGTCTCGGAAGCCCTACCGGGGCAGTTCTACTCTGGCCTGTAGAGAATATGATCGCTGTGAGCCAGCATTGACTCGCCAGCCGCGGGTTTGTTTTGAGAGAACTGGTGGCAAAATGGTTAAGGGTTGGGCATCTCACCCGAGGTCCACAGTTCGAAACCACCAGCCGTTGCAGTAAGAGCAGGCTTTCTACTCCCGTAAAGAGTTACAGCCTCAGAAACCCACAGGGGCAGTTTCATCTTGTCCTATAGGGTCACTCGGAGTCAGAATCGACCCGATGGCAGTGAGTTTGGGGTTTTTTCTTAGGAAAGTTCAGATGGTGGGACCCAGTAATGGCGGAAGGGGTCCTCTGGTGTGTCAGAGGAGAACTGTGCTCTATATGGGGTAGTTTCGGACGATCGCCGCCAGGTCTTTCTTCCGAGGTACCCTTGCGTAGATTCAGCCCACCAGGCTTTTGGCTCGAAGCCAAGCTCACAGTCTTTTGTGCACCACCCAGTGACCCTTAAAGGGTAGAGCAGGGAGTGTAGTGGAGCCTTGAGGATGGGTCTGAGCCAGGGCCTTAGGGGTGGCACCTTGCCCCTCCGCAAGACCTTGGCCACGCCCTCGAGGTCAGCTAAGACCCTCCTTCACTGAGCTCAAGCCCAAGCCCCTGGCTCACTTCTAGAGCTCCTCCTCTTTAGGAAATGGAAATCAGGCCACCTTGCCTGGGCTGGGGATGGAGGTGGCAGCTTCTGAGACGAGGGAGGGACTTGGAGTAGACTTGGGCCTCCCTTCAAGGACAGGGTCACGTGCCAGAGTCGCTCACACCGGGAGTCCTAATTTCGAAAGAAGGAGCTCTGGTGGCACCACGGTTTAGTGCTCAACGCTAAGCGAAAGGTAGGTGCTTCCAGCCCCACTGCCACTCCCCAGGAGAAAATTACCCGGCGATTGGCTCCTGGAATAAACGTGGCGGCTGAGGGAGCCCCACGGGGGCCATTAGAAATCGACTCGGCTGCACCACAATGACAGCATCTTCCAGGGGCTCTGGTGGTGCCACGGTTAAGCACTAGACTGTTGGCCCCAAAGTGGGCAGGTTCGAACACACCAGCAGCTCCAGAGGAGAAAGTTCTGACGAGTTGCTCCCGCAAGATCAACCCACTGTCAGCGAGGCGATTCGGGTCGATTCCGACTCACAGTGCCGCTCTGGGACCGAGAAGTGCTGCCTCGAGGGTTTCCACAGCTGCACATCTGCACAGGGGCAGGCGGCCTCCTCTCTCTC